TTTTGTCCAATGTAAGTGGACGTATTTTGTCCAATGTAAGTGGATGTATTTTGTCCAATGTAAGTGGACGTATTTTGTCCAATGTAAGTGGACGTATTTTGTCCAATGTAAGTGGACGTATTTTGTCCAATGTAAGTGGATGTATTTTGTCCAATGTAAGTTGACGTATTTTGTCCAATGTAAGTGGATGTATTTTGTCCAATGTAAGTGGACGCATTTTGTCCAATGTAAGTGGACGTATTTTGTCCAATGTAAGTGGACGTATTTTGTCCAATGTAAGTGGACGTATTTTGTCCAATGTAAGTGGATGTATTTTGTCCAATGTAAGTGGACGTATTTTGTCCAATGTAAGTGGACGTATTTTGTCCAATGTAAGTGGATGTATTTTGTCCAATGTAAGTGGTCGCATTTTGTCCAATGTAAGTGGAAGTATTTTGTCCAATGTAATAGGACGTATTTTGTCCAATGTAAGTGGACGTATTTTGTCCAATGTAAGTGGATGTATTTTGTCCAATGTAAGTGGACGTATTTTGTCCAATGTAAGTGGACGTATTTTGTCCAATGTAAGTGGACGTATTTTGTCCAATGTAAGTGGACGTATTTTGTCCAATGTAAGTGGATGTATTTGTCCCACGTATGTGGACGTACTTTGTCCAATGTAAGTGTTGTGTCCAATGTAAGTGGATGTATTTGGTCCAACGTATGTGGACGTACTTTGCCCAATGTAAGTGGACGTACTTTGTCCAATGTAAGTGGACGTACTTTGTCCAGTGTAAGTGGACGCATTTTGTCCCAATGTGCCCGGCGTCGTTTGGTTTTCCATTTACAAAAGAAAAGAAAATCCTAAATCTTTATCGGAGTATACAAAAATGAGAACCCTGTCAAAAGCACTTGGCTAAAGTAAGTAGTAGAACGAGGTATGCAGGAACTTGACATGAAAAGACAGGGCCAACGAAAAACAACAACAACGTTTCATTATTGTGTGGTGTTGTTTTGTTTTTTCGGAAATTATATTTTCTGTACATTTCAGTGGCGTGGGAAAAAAACTGTGTACCCTTATAGAATATACCAATTTCTCATATCCCAAGGATAGTAAAAACGTAAACATTTATTTTAAAATAATATGCTTCCTTAGAAGTAAAGAAAGATTATTCCATTTCCCAAAACATATATTACAAGGTATTCAACAAAGTTGTTGTTTTTTTGTATTTTTTTTTCTTAATTTTTTAGAGGCTACAATACCAAATATCCGACTGGGTTGCAGACTTAAATATTGGGGTCTAGCTGTAGGTTGTTGTTTTGTTTTTGTTGTTGTTGTTGTTTTTTTTTATTTGTGGTTTGAATGCTAGGCGATTGTAAAGTTTGTAATTTATAACCCACTTTTAACGTGAAAAAAATTAATTTTATAATAATTAATAATTAAATAGAAAAAGAAAGTTTTGGAACAGGAAAAGCTGAACGGAGAAACAATCAATCACGTTATCTAAATAATCTTATCAATCGGAGAAGCAATCAATCACGTTATCTAAATAATCTTATCCATCGGAGAAGCAATCAAGAAGTATCCCAGCATGATACAATCTATGTGTATTAATGCAATGCAGCAGTTAAGTCCCGACACAATACAATTTATTATTGGTAAAAAAATAATGAACGGACCGAATAGCACCACGAACATGTTTTTTTTTAATATGTCTCAAAAATATTTATTTACTGTAACTGGTTAGTTCCTTCTGACATCCACAGCTAATAGCTGGTTAGTTCCTACTGACATCCACGGCTTACAATTGACCATTTCCTACTGACATCAACATCATTGTTATTGTCCAGTTCCTACAAACAAAGAATTATAACTGCTTAGACATTCACAGCTTGCAACTGACTAGCTCCCCTACTGACAGCCACGTCTTCTTGCTGGTTAGTTCCTACCGAGATCCTTAACCTCTAACTGGTTAGTTTCTACTGACACCCACATCACTGTAACTGGCTGGATACTTATGACACCTACATCTTCCAAACTGGCTCTCACCTACTGAAATCCACATCTTATAACCGGCTAGTTCTTACTGACACCCACAGCTTACAACTGGCTCTTTCCTACTTACACCCACGGTTTAAAACTATTAAAAATGAAAAAACCTGTTAGAAATCTATTTTTTATCTGTTTTTCTTTTTGTTTTTTTATTTTCCCCCTCCATCTATCAATAAAAGTAACTACAAGTTAAACGACAAATGCGAAGTTGAATTTAGAAATGCAAATAATGTATTTTCTTTGTGAATGTAATCGAGCTAAAGAAAGAACGCAGCAGCCCAAAAAATTGAGGAAGCTACGCGTCGTACTTGGCATTGGGAAAATACCGCTAGAATGGAAAGCACGTTTTAGAACACAGTGCATAATTTTATTTTCGCGAATGCATTAAAGAGCATATAAAAAAATAAAAATGATTCAAGCTCATCAACGTATGCATAAACATTCAAATGTAGGATTACAAAATTCAAATGTAGGATTACACATTCAAATGTAGGATTACAAATTCAAATGTAGGATTACACATTTAAATGTAGGATTACACCTTCACATCTGTAGTAAATATGGAAATGCCATCTTATAGTTAGGCTTAAGCTAGACAATATCTTTTAAATTTAACTTTCATTTTCTATATGGCCCATCGCATTTTTCTTCCTTTAAACCGATTGACCACTGGCCTTCGGTCAGTTATTCCTAATGCTCAACAAGGTTCTACCAATTATCAATTATTTTTCTTAATAAAAAAATCAAAGATTTTTTTTCAAGGTTAAAATAATTCATTACAAACCAAATCGGATATGAAACAACTCTGGTCAATAAAGTAAGTCAAACTTTGATTAGCCTGTTGAAGGTTCCTGCTACGGACTTTGAAGGTGTCCTCAAAACAGTTGATACCCCGCTTTGAGACAATTATTTTTTTTTTCTTTTTAATTCAGTCATCAATTAATTTTTCTTTACATCTATGTTTGTCGTAAAAAACAACAACATGACTTTCAATGGAATCCTGAAAATTTACTCTCGCAGCAAATAGATGGTATGATCTAAAGTGGTGAAATGGTATGATCTAAAGTGGTGAATATTTTTTTTTAATTGCTATTACATCAATGAGATTCTACGTACCCAGGATAGTCTGCTTTGCCATCTTGCTGGAATCGCTTGGGTTGACAAATTCGTCATCAGAGTTCTACATAGAATCAAGTAAGTGAAATTAAAAGTAATATCAACCCAGCAACAATAATAGTAGCAATGCAGTGACATTACAGATTCTATCAATGGCATGACAAACATGGATGCATCCCACCAACAATAATAGTCTCAATCCAGTGACATTACAGATTCTATCAATGGCATGACAAACATGGATGCATCCCACCAACACTAATAGTCGCAATCAAGTGACATTACAGATTCTATCAATGGCATGACAAACATGGACGCATCAATCCAATAAAAACCAGGGTTCATCAATCCAATAGACAGGACAAGGAAAATCAAGCCAATGGCTAAACAGCGTCTATGAAGCTAAAATAAAGACATGGGTCAAACAATCTACATAACCAGACAGGTGCTGCCCATTCCAATGATGAGACAGACAAACCAAAGCGTATTACATTTTGACCTTGTACAATTCTTCCCTTATTTTTAACTTCCAACTTCTCTGCAAACATAAATATTATTTATTGTATACATTGTATGTCAAATATCACATTTTAAACCTATAAATTAACTTCTCTTTTATTTGTGGCCGGCTGACTGGCAAAATCTTCGGACGACTAATCCACCCACTTCCCGTCAGCACGTTGAGCTGAAACTTGGCTTATAGACCTATTGCAAATGACAACTGATTTTTTTCACATTTGCAGCCCCAATCTCCCACCCCCACCCCCAAAATCCCATTTGTTCCTGTTTTTTCAAGGGAAAGATAAAGCGAAATTCCCAATGACTGCGCTAAATGAGTTGCTTTGTAAAAAAATATCGCAAGTGCGTTTGGTGCGTAATATTTTCTTTTGTTTTTTTCTGAAATTATTCCGGAAATAGATCTGCTTGTAAAGGCGGTTGGTTCATTGGAATATTAATATAGTTCAGGGGCGTGGAAATAATTTGTGGCTGCAAGCCTTGAGATTCGGGGGGGGGGGGCACAATTTGGGATTCTTATAAAGTGAGTTACTTGTACTTGTATGCATGTTTCATCAAATTTTTAGCCCCCAACACTATAGCTCGATATTACATTTTATAATATATATATACATATAATTTTTACACAAAAAAACTTTGTTTTTTTTGGAGGCTGTGTAATAAAATTTCTTTGTTCCAAAGTGTGTTCCAAGAAAATAGCCGTTAGGACTGCGATAGAAGCTCACATCGACTACCACTGGTTGAAAAGTGAGTGCACCGTGTTTCTGGTGCCCTACGACGAGAACGGCTGGCTTCGGGCGTTCTTCGTCCAGTACTCGAGTAGAAGACCCAGCAGCAGTTGTTCCCACGGTGCCATCTACCTGTACAACTCGCAAGACAGCTCTCTTTTAGGTAATGTTGTTACCTTGGAATCTACCTGCACAGATCTTAGGACTACTCTCTTTTAGTTAAAGGTGTTGAATTGCTACCTACAACTCTCAAGTCAACTCTCTTTTAGGTAATGTTGGTACCTTGGTATCTACCTGTACAATTCTCTTGATAACTCTTTTTAGTTTATAGTGTTACCTTAATTACTATTATATTCGTACAACTCTCAAGACAACTCATATTTAGGTAATATTGTTAAAATGCACTTACTGTATACTATAACTTTTAGCGGGTTTTTTTGTGTGAACTGGTAACAATAAATTAAATACTAATTAAAGTAGCATACAGCTTGTCTGGTTTGAGTTACCTAGGAATTTGGACATAGATCTGCGTATATTGACAAAACATCGGAGCATACAATCAACTTGACTTGAGTGTCCTTTTGTCTTTGACCCCCCCCCCCACCCCTTTCACAGCTAAGATTTTTTCATCTCTAGGAAGCTAAAACTGGACCCGCAGGGATCGCCCGATAGATTAGTAGTTTGAGTTAACTAGGAATTTGGACCAAGATCTGCGTATATTGACAAAACATCGGAGCATACAATCAACTTGCCTTGAGTGTCCTTTTGTCTTTGCCCCCCCCCCCCACCCCTTTCACAGCTAAGATTTTTTCATCTCTAGGAAGCTAAAACTGGACCCGCAGGGATCGCCCGATAGATTAGTCATTGCTTCTGTCGGCTACGGCCGAACAGGCCGATGAAGAATCCACTAGACCCCCGTTTCAGTGCGTTCTTCCATGACTGTCTAATCTAACACTTCAAAAAAAGACATGCTATTATTTTATCCTTTCCATGAGTTAAGCTTCTTAATTTTATCTCGTTTTCTTGCCTCAATAATAATTTAACAAGTAAAAAAAAAAAAAAAAAATTAAACGTATTTTAAGCGCCAACTTATTTTATTAAATGAAAAGCCAAACAAGGTTTACAATAAGATAAATTACGGTGAGGTAATTTGCAAAAAAAAAAAAATGTGTTTAACCTGCAGTATTGAAGCTTTGAAATAAGAATACATGTTTCAGCGTATTGCTGGACTTAGGAGGAAGTTGGGGTGGATGGATGGAAGAGGCTTGCGATCAAAGGAAGACATGCATGAGCAGGGATGACGAGGACGTTGCTTCAAGTTTTGGACGGGGGTGGGGATGGCGGTCGGAGGGGTTTGTGGGGGGGGGTCCTCTTAATCATGAAGGATTGATTGGGGTCAAAGGTCTGCCGTATGTTTGGAAAAATTATAACGTACCGTTATGGTTTTCAAAATGTAATTTGTTTGAAGCTCTTTGGCTGGCAGAATGAACAGCACGCAACACAGGAATGAGACAAACCAGAAAACATAGGAAAACGATATCAAACTTAGCGATCTTAACAAGATTCAGTTTAATTATACAAATTAAATTTCTATAGGAATACATATTCAAATATACAGAGCACAAATCAAAAAATCCATACCATATCAATGTACAGCAGAACAAGAGAAAATGTTCTGTCCTGGGAAAATACAAATAAAAATGTACACACATATAAAGAGTACAATCTTGCAGTTATATGACGACTCCTTTATGTTAGGAAATGTAGGGAAAATAACTAAATCTCGCACAATCTCTTGGCTAGGAAATCTGCCAGCCGATCTATAGGGATTAAACCAGATCCATCGATTGAAATAAATGTTAGAAATTGGGTTACCTGATATCATTCTTAAAAACAAATGGAACGCATTCCAACGCAGACAACCTTTTCCCGGTGAAGGAAGGGGCGGGTAAGGAGTGACACAGCACGTTTACTCGATGGCTTCAACATCAAGGCAAAACAAAGGGGATTTGACGACTGTTGGTGGTTAAAGGTTATTCCTAAGCATGTGCCATGATGACATCATGTAACAATATTTACATTTATATATGAACAAATATCAATTCTAAGAACATCCAAAATCTTTATGAACATCAACACGAGCCTTTCCTAGGGGTCGCCGGAGACCCTCCTGAAAACACATAAACTTACAGCCATGGAATAGCAACGAAATTAATCGCGGGGCTGTGGATCGCTACGACACGAGAAACTGTATTAAAGGGTCGAGGCATTAGGAAGGCTGAGAACCACTGGTGTACATGAACATCGAGCGTTACATCAATATCTACAGCCTACATGAACATCGACCATCCGTCTATATGAACATCTACCGTCTATATGAACATCTACACTCTACATCAGTGTCTCAAGCTCGCAGCCTGCGGGACATTTCAGGCCCGATACCTGTTAATGCGGCCCGCGCGTTCTCCAAATTATTATATCTATAATGTGACCTTCCGCGACGGGTTCAGTCGAATCTCACCGACTAGTCTAATTATGATTGTTATTATGTTTGTATGGGTTTGGATGATGATTATAATGGTAAAAACCATTTTTAAAATCGGTCTAAAAAATTTTATTTTATAACATTTTATGAAAAAAACATGAACACATTTTGGTAACTTTTATGATAAACTATGTGAGAAAGATAAACATTTCAATGCATACTCAGTCGTTCAGGGCATTGTTCACAAACCTTGTGTTCCTCTGTCACACTCAGAGCTCCATGCGGTAAATACACCCAAAACAATAGCAAATGCTTCAAAGTGCCTCAGTGCAACACAGTGCAGTATAAACAATCTTTCCACTGTGAACTCAACATCGGACGAAAGCTTCGAGGCTGCCCTGGCATCAGCTAGGAGCTGTTAGAACAGCAACATCATACCCCCAACCGTTTCACCGATGGCAGTACCTGGATGCAGTAAAAAACACTACCAGAACCAGAACCAGAAAAAGCGTGATTTTTTTTTTCTTTACAAAGGATTATTACTATTTTTAGCATCACAGTTGTGTCCCATCTTTGTGCTGGGGCAGCACATCACACAGAACTTGGTCACGGGCCGTCCTTTCATTTCAGGTACGTGTGCACCTGTGAGACTTGTCCGTAGCCTGGTACAGGAAGGTACCCGGAGTAGCTATCACCGTATACTTGCGACTGTTGTTTCTTAAGACTTTTTATAACATGAACGACAGTATCACCACTTTCGACGGGTCTCTTTTTTTGTACAACGTCATCTCTATTCCGGCATCCGGCAACTGACTGTTCCTATCAGTGGGTTTTTTCTAGACCCAAGATGCTGACGAAGGCAATGCACTCTCACTACGACACAGGGCAGGTGATTTCGTGTTGCATTGTTTGAAAATTAGAAGTGAATTCTTTTTTTTTTACCACTTGGACCCGTCAGGTATTCTCTAAATGTACATGGACCGGTTGTAAAGAAAAATCTGGTTACGTCCATATATATATATATATATATATATATAAATATTATGGCATCCTTCCGTCTACGTGAGACAATGGAGTAGCTATATAGTTCTACACTTTGTCGAGTGGCTCATTAGGCCAATCCTTGAATGGCAATCACGGCCGCATCTCTCGCAGGAGAATGTTGAAACCCGGTAAATTCTTGATTTTCGAATTGTTCTTTTTTATTCGAGGGCCTCGTTTCGAGTAACTTCTGCCTTTTTCACTCCTCCAAACACTGCTGTACGCCAATTGGAGCGATGTTCGGCAATGAACTCCCATTCGTTTGTTTCAATATTGGCTTCCCTCATGCTTCGTTTGCAAACGTCATTAAATCTCAGGCGCGGTCGTCCAATATGTCTTGTCCCCTCTGCCAACTCTCAATACAGCAGAATCTTTGGGATACGTCCTTCCTCCATTCTCCGTACATGACCTAACAAGCGAAGGCGTCTCTTGATAAGAAAGGAGAATATGCTAAACATGTGTGCACGTTCCAAGACCTCCACGTTAGTCACCCTGTCCTGCCAACGAATGCGCAAAATGCGACGCAGACATCTTTGATGGGAGCTGTTGAGTTTCCGCTCCTGACTGGTATATGTGGTCCACACTTCACTACCATATAGGAGCGTGCTAAGCACGCATGCCTGATAGACACTTATTTTTGTTTTATCAGTTAGATTGAGATTATTCCACACCCGCTTATTCAGTTTAGCCATAGTTGCTGCTGCTTTTGCAATACTGATATTGATTTCTTCATCAACGAAGAGAGAACTAGTAATATTGGATCCCAGGTATATGAAATGATCAACAACCGAAAGATTATGACCCTCAATAGATATGATTGGAGGAGACGGTGCTTCTTGCATCATTACATGAGTTTTCTATAGACTAATCGAAAGTCCAAACTCTTTGCAGGCATGTGATAGGCGATTATCCAGCCCCTGCAGACCTTCTTCTGTGTGAGATGTTAAGGCGGAATCGTCAGCGAACAACAGTTCACGAATCAGCACCTTTTTTACTTTGGTCTTTGCACAAAGGCGGGCGATATTGAACGTCCATCAGATCTTGCATGGACGAACACTCCATTTTCACAGTCACTGAAAGCAACTTGAAGGAGCATCGAAAAGAAAATTGAAAAGAGCGTTGGTGCCAGTACACAACCCTGTTTTTACTCCGCTGCCAACTGGAAATGACTCAGAGACAGTGCCATTGAAAGTTACCGTGGAATGCATGTTCATGTGAAATGACTGTGTGATTGTGAGCAGTCGTGGGGGACAACCTATTCTTTGCAGGATACTGAAAAGTCCTCTTCGACTTACCAATTCAAATGCCTTGGTCAGGTCTATGAAGGCAATATAAAGAGGCATATGCTGTTCGCAACATTTATCCTGCATTTGGCGTAGCGAACGAAAATATCATGTCTATTGTTGAGCGCCCACTCCTGAAGCCACATATTTATATATAAATTATTTTGGAACATTTATTTCCTCTTCAAATCTTACAAGATAATAAAAGTTCACTACTCAATTGACATACTTGAATGTGGAATGATGTCAATTGTTTCTATTTTTCAGGGGACAAAGGTTACTGCCTCAGTCATACTCCGAAAGGATATCAAGTCTTGGGTGCAAATGGAAGCATTCACATCACGAGACGATCGGAAAGCACCAGCCTCAAGGTTAGGCTTCGGATTGTCCAGTACCTCCTCAAGAATGATAGTAAGTCGTCGTGTCAATCTAACAAGAACATAATCAAGGGAATTGATTATCTCGTATTATAGCGTCGTAAATGAAAGGTCACTAACCAGTGATCGTAATTGTTGAAAGTTCTATTTGAACTTTTTGTACCCCTTAAGACAGGCACGCTCCTAGGTCATTCTGGGCCCCAGGCAGCTAACAGAGTTTGGGACCCCTTTCGTGTTTAAAACTTGTGCATATATTTGAAAGCTCGGAAAAGGGCGGGCGCCTATCATGCTCGGGCACCTGAGAATTTGAATTTTGGTGATCAATTGCCATCTACATCACCAGCCACCACCTACATCACCAGCCACCACCTACATCACCAATCAACACCTACATCACCAGCCACCACCTACATCACCAGTCACCATCTACATCACCAGCCACCATCTACATCACCAGTCACCATCTACACCCCACCTATACCAACGGCCCAGACCCAAATCACAAGCCCCTACCAACCACATCGAACATTTCAACTGGTTGATCATTAGCAGTGTTGCAGTGAACAGGTTTATAATCTAATGCTTTATTCCTAGTTGAACGTAATTAAGAGTTAACCACTTTAAGTTGCAACAAGTGCATCCAATCTCTACGACTTTTTTTTATTATTATCCATTTACATCAAGCAATGCCCCAAAGAAAAAACCTTCTGCTCTTCCACATACAGCGTGTCCCCCTGGCACATTCGACTGTGGCCCCAACGACTTCTGCATAGCCAACAGCCTTGAATGTGAATCACACCGGGACTGTCCCAGTGGTCTCGACGAAGGGGATCAATGTCCCGACAAATACTCCGCTGCCCTCTGGTTGGCGCTGGTGGTCGTGATCGTCGCGTGCTGCTGTCTTTGCGTGGCCTTCACCATCAGCAGCAAGTCCAAGCGGAACATTGGTTTTGCGCAGCGTGGCGGCGGAAGGTTTGATGGGGCCTACGCCGCTAATTTCGGAGGGACGCCACAGCCGGGCTACGCCATGAGTCAAGTTTCTCCTTACGGGAGTACGGTGCAGGCAAGCATGGACCCCAACTACAACACCACTTATGGATTTGCTCAGCCTGTCATCATGGGCGCTCAAACATCTTATACTGGAGTCCAAGGTGCTCAAACACCTTATTCTGGAGTTCAAGGCCCTCAAACATCTTATACTGGAGTTCAAGGCTCTCAAACAACTTATACTGGAGTTCAAGGTCCTCAAAGTCCTTATGCTGGAGTCCAAGGTCCCCAAAACGCTTACACTGGTACCCAAGCTCCCCAATCTCCTTACACAGGAGCTCAGCGCGCCTACCCACCTCCATCGCCCCAGAATCCGTACATCCCACAAGGTTACCCTATCCAAGAACCGATGTATCCACCGCCCACGTATCCTTATGGTTTCGGTATGGGATTCCCTCAGCAAGGATTTGGTAACTGACCAGTGACCACTCTCTCCGTAGGCGCACCACAATGCCATCGAATTGTATCGCTCGCATGAACTCTTTCAAAACGTGTCATCTGTGATGGAAAGTTTTCGGATAAGCGAACACCGCCTCTTTGAGTTTGTCCTAAAGAGTTTAGTGCGCAGGTTCTACCTTACACACGTATGGTGTTTTTTATACAACTTCCCCCCCTCCCCCCTCCCCCCCCCCCGTTTTTCTTGGTTGGAGATGGGGAGGTCTTTCCGCGACCTCAACAATTATTTGTTTTTACCTCCTTTGCCAAACTTCCTTCTTGTTATTTGGAAAAAATATCTGCTCTTTTTTTTTAATTTTTCGAAGTCAGATCTATTTCCTACTGACATCCGCGGCTTCTAACTGGTTACTTTCTACTGACATGCCCACCTTATAAGTGGATATTTCCTACTGACATCCAGATCATATAACTGGAAAATCCTACTGACGTACCATTTCATAGCTGGCTAGATCCTACTGACATCCCCGTCGTATAAGTGGTTAGCTGCTACTGGCATCCCCATCTTATAACTGGTTAGGTCTTACTGACATCCCCATCTTGTAACTGGCAAGATCCAACTCACATCGACGGCTTATAACTGGTTAGTTCGTCCTGACACCTACAGTTTTAAACTGGTAAATTAATACACTTGAAAGAAAAGTATAATATTAAAATGCATCTGCTCTTGAATGCCATGCTTATTATTTCAAAAGCACATACTCAAGGTAGGGTGAACAAAGTTCGTGACTATTCAGATATTCCGATCACTGTTTAGTGACTATGAATTTTAATGATTCTTTTGCAATAATCAATGGGGGGTCTTTTGATATTTTCTGTCATCTTGATTTGTATGGGCGAATTTTTTTGTTTTTAAGGACACTTCAACGACACAAGAGTCGACGGTTCTGAGCCCAGTTATATAGCTGAAGATGCCCCAAAATAAAGGCTGGAATTTACGTATATGTTTTGTTTAACGTTGTCCGATATCTAGAAGAGAGGTGCAGAATTTCAATTACAATAGCGTTTCCCAACTCACAAAATACTTTAATTCCATAACGTTTTCATTCAGATAGTTTTAGGTAGAGTTGATAAAGTTTCCAGGTTCAGATTATCTGCTTCTGTCCGAAACCTAACGCACAAATATCTTCATGAAAAATTACCATCTACACCACACGTCACCATCTCCATCACCAGTCACCAACTTCTTCAATCAACCAACAATAACAAACTACATCACCAGTCACGACGTTCATCATCAGCCACCAACTACATCACCAGTCACCAACTACATCACTAGTCACCACATACATCACCAGTTGCTACCTACATCACCAATCACAAACAACATCACCAGTCACCAACTACATCACCAGGTACCATATACATCACCAGTCACCACATACATCACTAGGTACCATCTACATCATTAGTAAAAATTTACATCACCAGTCACCACCAACATCACAGGTTACCATTTACATCACCAGTCACCACCTAAATCCCAATTCACTATCTACTTAAACATTTACAATCAACATCACCAGTCACCATCTACATGACCACTAACAATGTACATCACCAGTAACCACCTACATCAACAATCCCCATCTACATCACCAGGTACCATATGCATCATCAGTCACCACCTACATCACTAGGTACCATCTACATCATCAGTAACAATCTACATCACCAGTCACCAACTAAATCACCGGTTACCATTAACATCACCAGTCACCACCTAAATCCCAATTCACTATCTACTTCAACATTTAGAATCAACATCACCAGTCAGCATCTACACGACCAGTAACAATGTACATGACCAGTAACCACCTACATCACCAATTTAAATCTACATCACCAGGTACCATCTACATCCCCGTTCACCAACTACATCACCAGCTACCATCTACATCCCCGTTCACCAACTACATCACCAGCCAACACCTACATCACCAATCCCCATCTACATCACCAATACCCATCTACATCACCAATCCCCATCTACATCACCAATCCCCATCTACATCAAAAATCCCCATCTACATCACCAATACCCATGTACATCACCAATCCCCATCTACATCACCAATCCCCATCTACATCAACAATCCCCATCTACATCACCAATACCCATCTACATCACCAATACCCATCTACATCACCAATACCCATCTACATCACCAATACCCATCTACATCACCAATACCCATCTACATCACCAATACCCATCTACAATCCCCATCTACATCACCAATACCCATCTACATCACCAATACCCATCTACATCACCAATACCCATCTACATCACCAATACCCATCTACATCACCAATACCCATCTACATCACCAATACCCATCTACATCACCAATACCCATCTACATCACCAATACCCATCTACATCACCAATACCCATCTACATCACCAATACCCATCTACATCACCAATACCCATCTACATCACCAATACCCATCTACATCACCAATACCCATCTACATCACCAATACCCATCTACATCACCAATACCCATCTACATCACCAATACCCATCTACATCACCAATATCCATCTACATCACCAATACCCATCTACATCACCAATACCCACCTACATCGCTAATACCCATCTACATCGCCAATACCCATCTACATCACCAATACCCACCTACATCGCCAATACCCATCTACATCACCAATACCCATCTACATCACCAATACCCACCTACATCGCCAATACCCATCTACATCACCATTACCCATCTTCATCACACCTATACCTAAACCCCTAACAAAACTAGAAGCACCTAACAACCACATAGAATGTTTTAATGGCTGTGTCACTAGCAGTGAACAAAAGTTTGATTGCAATTTTATTTTTCTAGTTGAGCGGACATTCAAAGTAACCACTTTAAGGCGTAACGAGTGTATGCCATTTTTATGTCTTTTTATTATTATTCGTTTACATCACTGAAAACCTTGAAACGAAAGCTCTGTTCTTCCGCTTACAGCGTGTCCCAATGGCACATTGGATTGTGGCCCTGACGACTCCTGCATAGCCAACAGCCTTGAATGGGACTCAATCCGGGATTGTCCCAGTGGCGTTGACGAAAGAGATCATTGTCCCGACACCACCAACCACTTACAAGCCCTCTATGAGTACTGTGTGCCGTTGTTGGTTACGATCACTGGATGCTTTTTTCTGTTTGCTGCGCCTGTCAGCAACAAATCTAAGCCGAAATACGTTTATGTGCCTCCTGAGGGCGGAACGTTCGATGGGGCCCTCGCTTCTGATTTCGGTACGACACAGCCTGGCTACGTGATAAGTCAAGCTCCTCCTGACGGGAACCGGACGCAGGGAAACATGGTCCCTGGTGGCAACCCTTCGGTTGGATCTTCTCAGCCTGCTAACATAGGCCCTCAAACATCTTATGCTGGAGTTCAAGCTCCTCAAACTCCTCCTTATACTGGAGTTCAGCACGCCTATCCCCGTCCATCACCCAACACGCCATATGTTCCAAAAGGTTTTGTGATCCAGAGAACCGATGCATCCACGCACCCATGTTCTAGAGAACTTAGTGCTTTCATGCCAACATGTCATCATCATCATCCGCTGCCATCCGGTCTGGGGCATAGGCCACAAACAAAGGCTCTACAGGCATCCCGGTCCTGGGCAAGTCTCTCCAGCTGTCCCCAGTTGTGCCCAATCTTCTTTTTTTTTTTTTTTTTTTTTTTTTGGGGGGGGGGGGGGGGTTGGGTAAAATAATAACTGATCTTTTTTAAATCATTATTTTGCAAAGATTTTGTTGCACCAAAATAAACATCCATTTTGACCGTTGGGGAATAGGGGGGTGGATGATATTGTACACTTTGAGAATAACTGCTTTAATGTACAATTATAAACATATAGAGACAAGAGATCGTTTCCAAAAAAAATGAAAAAGAGAGATGAAGAGATAACTGGTGTTAGATAAAAGTATGTACATAATATGTACATCATGCCTTGCTGATATGACATGTACATTATATAATCATCATCCCTTGCTGATAGGTCATGTAGATTATGCATAGATCGTACCTTGCTGATATGACATGTACATTATGCATACATCATCCCTTGCTGATAGGACATGCACCTTATGCATACATCATCCCTTGCTGATAGGACATGCACATTATGCATACATCATCCCTTGCTGATAGGACATGCACATTATGCATACATCATCCCCAGCTGATATGACATGTACATTATGCATACATCATCCCTTGCTGATAGGACATGCACATTATGCATACATCATCCCTTGCTGATAGGACATGCACATTATGCATACATCATCCCTTGCTGATAGGACATGCACATTATGCATACATTATCCCTTGCTGATAGGACATGCACATTAAGCATACATCATTCCTTGCTGATCATGGCATGTACATGTAATATACGGTCTTTTTATTATTTATTTATAGATATATGCTACATCACATTCAACTACCTCCATTACATTCAACTGACTATATCTCTATCACATCCAACTGACTACGTCTCTATGACATCCAACTGACTAGGTCTCTATCACATCCAACTGACTAAGTCTCTATCACATCCAACAGACTACGTCTCTATCACATCCAACTCACTACTTCTCTATCACATCCAACAGACTACGCCTCTATCACATCCAACTGACTATAACTCTATCACATCCAACTGACTACGTCTCTATCACATCCAACTGACTACGTCTCTATCACATCCAACTGACTACGTCTATATCACATCCAAATGACTACGGCTATATCACAT